AAACGAAGAGGAAGATAAGAGAAAGCAAGTGGAAGAAGAGATAAGAGAAATGAGTAGGAGAAAATGAGGAGAAAGAGAAGTGAAGGGAAATGGAAGAAGAGATAAGAGAAATGAGTTGGAGAAAAGGAGGAAGAAGAGAAGAGAGGAAAGAAGATTAGAGAAGAGTGGGAAAAACAAATGAGAAATCTAAGACTTGAAGCATATATATAAGATGCATACTATTTTGTACAAAATCTTTGACAGAACTAATATTTGGCAGAAATTTCAAACTAATTTAGCTCATAATTGAGGGGGGAAAACTAATTTAGACAAAAAATTTGACCGAATTAAAATTTGGCAAAAAAATTCAAACTAATTCAATTGGTAATTGAGGGGAACTCTAGATTATTTGGACAAAACAATTGATTGAAATAGTATGAGCGGGAAATATAAAAATTTTCAAGTTTTTCATGGCGTATAAGAATAAAGTTTCTGAAATATGTAATGACTATATGGGTAAAAAGTTTTGACCGAAATAGGAAAATAAATTAAATTCAAGGGAAAAACAACTAAGTATAGATAATGTTTTGAATATATTTGGATAAAAACTTTTGATCAAACATATATATAAGGATTTTTTATTATTTTTTAAAAATGCATCAACTTATTCAGTCAATTTATTTGATCAAAATAGGATTAAGTTTCTTTAGATAATGTTTCAATAATTTCTAATTGTTAGTTTTGGTCAAGAAATTTGACCAAAATAGTGTAATTAATTTTTTGCCAACTATTTTAGTAAAATAATTTGACCAAAATAAAATCAAAAACTTTAAGCATAAAATCTTACAATGATTCGGGCTAAATATTTAACCAAAAAAATGAATTACAAAATATTATAATTATTTTAGTCAGAAATTTTGACTGAAATAGTAAATTTAAAATACTATTTTTTGTAACAATTTTTTCATATATTTTTAATTATATTTATAATTATATTTGAACAAAAAAATTTGATTGAATTATGTGATATTTTAATATTCTTTTTTTTAGTAAAAAATTTTAACCGATTTAATGTTGGCATTGATTGTCGCCCTATTATTTTGATAATATATTTTGACCGAATAAATATTAGAACAATTCAATTAATTTCTTATCTTTTAAATAAACAACTTGCTTTCTGGGTTTTTTTTTTTTTTTTTTTTTTTTTTACCGAAATAAACATTTTTCGATCGAGTTAAATGATTGACCAAAATAGTTTGTCCCAAATAATCAGTTTTCTAGTAGTAAATTCACAAGTTTGAACACAAGCTCAACAAATACTCAAGCTCCATTGGAGCTCAAATTTTTAAGGCCAATGATGATGTGAACTTGTTTGGCCTTGGAAACTAAGTTCTTTGATTCTATGTTTATTTCTCTATGATGGTGACTTGATAATTTTTGTGAGAGACCAGTGAGATGATTATAAATACATGTTGATTACAAGTGACAAGAGTTAACGTCGTTGAAATTGAAAATATATGGGAATTGGGATACGAAAACAGATTTAGTAATTTCAGAATTGATGGTGTCTGCATGTTCTCTGTTTGCTCTTTAGGACATGTTTGGTTCATGTGTTTAGTAGCATGCCTATTTCATGATGGTTCAAAATGTCTGGTGGTACTAAATTATTGACTAAGAGCACCTTAGCATTGGGGATAATGGATGAAATTGGTAGTAGAGATTGAAATAAGATGGTGATAGAAGTTAGCTAAAGGATGCAAGAAAAAAAAGGAGGATTATAAATGGGAATTAATTATAAAGAATTTAGTGGAATCGGTATCTATTAATTTAAAAACCTTAATTTAGAGTCAAAATTAGAACACTAAATCTATATACTACCAAACAGTTAACCCTTTGATGTATCAAAATAAATTATAAGTGAAAAATAAAATTATAATTAGAGTACTAGACTTAAAAAGGCATGCTTAAAGGAGGAGATTTAGAATTTGACGATTTATTAAGGAAAGGAGTAATAAAATGACTAACATGGGATTAAATGAATGAAATTTAATGATCTGATTTGCTTAATAGGATTGAATTTATCTAAAATCTTTTTAGATCAAATGATCTCATCTTCTCTTTGAAATTCACAAATGTCACTCCTAACTTCTTCAGGAGTTAAAAATTGCCCTAATTCAATTTTACTCTCTTTTTTTTTCCTTTGATTTTGAACCTGTTTGATGATTGATTGAACGTGGCCTATTGTTTCTTACAAGGTATAATGTATTGATATTATAACCTTACATTGCTGATTGCCTTTTTTTTACTGTTTTATTGCAGATTCTTTTGTTCAAGTACATCTACTAAAACTTAGTCTTCTAACTTTCTTTTATTTACTTAATGTTTACTTCTTTAAAGTTGTTTTCAATTTGATTAATACTAATGAGTTTCATTGATTTGGATTGGTTACGTGATTTACCTTGCTTGTGGAGGTGAGCCATTATACAGAGTCGAGAGAGCGTTTGGTCCAAAGCATCAAATATTCAAGAACGCATTTCATTTTTTGTTTTCTATTTTTTCTTCTTTTATATTCTAATTTCAATTTGAATTGTATAATTTAATTCGTGGGTTGGAGTTTGGTTTGTGTCATATTTTACACAAATCATCATTTCACATTGTTAATGCCACACACAGCACTCAATATGCATGCACATAATATCACTACATGGAATAAGTTTTAATAATCTAAATTTGAGAGATAATATGAGTAAGCTTTTTTATATATTATTTATATTTTCTGTATTTGATGAATTTTTTTATGTTATATAAGTTGTATTTGGTTATACATTTATGGATTTGAGAAAGTTTTAATGGACTTTTTGCCCTACTTGTATTTTTCCCATCATTATAATTAAAGTTGAATAATATAAATATTTCAGTTAAATAGAAAATTTTTTGTAGACTTATTACTCTACTTTCCTTCTTTTGGTCAAAATGCTATAGTATTTTCATTTGGTATTTTAATGGACTTTTTCAATCCGTTATAATTATAGTTGTAGGATATAAAAAGTTATCTTTTAATTGTTTTCCGCCCTTTTGTACCTTTTTTCTTTTTCTTTTTTTCAAAGTAATTAAATTTTCATAACATTTATTATATTTTTTCCTCTTCAAAATTGTAACAGAAAAAATACAAAGAAACAGAAACATTACCAAGCAAAATTTTTAATTGTGTTATTTTCTTTTGATGCCTTGGACATTATATAGCAAACTTTGTTTTCATTTTTTAAAATTTTTATTTCGAATTTTTTTACATTTTTTATTGACTTTTTATGGTGATACCAAATGATTTTTTAAGTTTCCAACTCCTTATGAGTTAGGAGTTGGAGATCAAAGTTTCGAATGAAGTGGTGGAAAATGTACCTTTTATGGGTTTTGGGCAAGGCATGCTAAGGAGAATATTGTAAGTGATGCTAATAATTTTGATGACACCTAGGTGTTGTAATTTGACCAACTGGCATTCCCATGGTTGCTGTTAGGGGATCACCTCTCAAATGGGATTGATGGGTTTGTTCAACCTATTGAAGTGTTCATTGTATCTCTTTTCGACTGAATTTCATCGAGTCAAAAACTTACTAAAGTGTGGTAGAGAGAATATCAGACATACTGCCAAGAGACAAACACCTTTTACCAGCAAAGATTTTAATATAGTGTAGACTAGTGATTGTTCTATAGAATGAGTCCTTTTCAAGAGGCTATATCATGATCTCTTTGACTTAGATTATAATCGGGTTATTTATTTAGGGGGGGCCTTTTTTCACTCAAATTTTTGTGTTTTGTGTTTTGTGTTTTGATTTTTGCAGGGTTGGAGATCTCAAGTTATATATGAAGATGAGAGTAGTGGTTTAATTATAAGAGGGTTATTTCTAATTATGTATATTATTTTATGTACTGTTTAAAAAAATTATGAGAAAAAAAAAAAAAGCTATTTCAAGTTATAATCATTTCTTTTAATCCTTCCTATTCTTCCATTTTCTCAATCACTTTGTGTTTGGTATGATTTAGAAAAAAAAAATCATTTAAATCTCTTACGAATTCCAATTCGATTCCATTGCAAACATCATATAAGGTTTACAAATATGACAATTGTTGTATGAAAATATTATAATTACAATATTACATGACGTTATAATTATTTAATATGATGTATTATTTTATAATTAATTTTTTTTATTTAAGGATTTATTTATGATATTATTTATATTTACATATTTAATATGACATTATACTCATTTAATATCATATTATAATTATAAATTTATAATATTACGTGACATTATAAATATAGCATTATCAATTGTCATATGTTACAAATTCTCAAGTGAACTCTATTTCCATTTTCATACCAAACATATGATTAATTACCTCAAATTAATTTCATCATAACACAAAGTTAATGGAGTCAAAAGTTGTGAGTATATTTTTTTGGTATTACAAACATTGCAAGTGGTATTTACTTAAGATATGTTTCATTTAAAGGAAGAGAGAAGGAGGAGAGAGAGGGAAGACATCTCCTCCATTGTGTTACAAAAAAATTAAAAGAGAGTGTGGCGCAATGAGCAATGTTTCTATGCTTTTTTTTTTTTTTTTGTGTTTAATTTCTTTAATTCTTTTAATTTATTGAAATGAAGGGAGAAAACAGAAAGAGAATGATGTTGCATTTTTCTATTTACCTCTTTTCCTTCTTCTTTTCATTTTTTTCAAATCAAATGCACCCTTAGAATACGTTATTAGAAATAATGAAACCCTAAATCAGTGGGTAATAAGGATCATTGCCCGACAATATATGCACCAAATTTTCTTTCAAAATAAAGTGGCTTTTGACTATTTGTACACATCAAAGATATGGTAAAGATTGGCATGCATACTCCCGTAATTCTCATGCAGCTCAGCTATGATTAGTCAATATGACCCAATATTGTGGTGGGCTCATCTATTTGCTAGGACATTGGACCAATCCTTCAAAAATCTTAATTAGTCCCCATTGAAATTACAAATTACAATACATCACTTTCTTCCTTTTCTCTTTAATTTAATTTTCTTTTAAAAGCAAAATGTACTTTTTCAAAAGCAAGCACTTTCTTTTTCCTTTGCAGTGAGGTTGACATCAATGACATATAGGTGTCACGTTCAGGGTTCATCACCAGCATCATGGATGTTAAGATTGGCCATAGGTGATCCTCTCTGAGTAGCAGGAGATTGCGCAGCCCTTGCTTGTACTCTTGATTTCAAGAATGTGTTGTTAGAGTCCACTTTATACCGTCTAAAATATATTAAATTGTGAAATTATAATTTTTGAATGAAAAATATTTCCAATGTTAGGAAACTTATTGGGAACTCTTTCTTCATTTAAGAATTTATAATTTGTAGTTCAATACAAACTTAAAACTATAAAAACAACTTTTTACTATTGTTAACACTTTAATTTTAAAAGAAAATGTAGCAACTAAAAGAAAAATTAATATACTGACAAGCAATAGAGCAAAAAGAGAAAAAAAAAAAACACTGCTTGAAATTTAAGGTAAAAATTAATCAACAAGTTAATTTTGATATTGTTGATGATGAAATACCCCAATTATTGATAAGTAGAGAGGCAAAAAAGAGAGATGTCTGCCGCAGTACAAACAAATAGTACCCAAAATAGAAACGACTGAAACAAACCACATAGAATATATGAAAGAAAAGAACTTTATTTTGATTAATTTAGGCCAGCGGTGGAAATTGGGATGGAAAGGAATAGAATCTGCTTTCTGGGCATGGGAGAGTACAACTTGTAGCAGCATTATACATTAAGGAAGATGATGGGCCCCTCAATGCACCAGCCTGCCTGCCTGCCTGCCTGCCTGCAATGCACCTTTCTTTATCGGTTTTCCTAACATGACTTTGAAGTTAAAAGTGCATGTTAATAATATATTTATTATATTTTTAATTATTAATATATATAAATAAAATTAAAATAAATATTTATATAATAAAATTAATATTAATATCAATTTTTTTTATATAAATTAATATTTAAAAAACATATTTATTGAATATGTACTATAAAAATTTAAATTAAATAAACCCTTTCTGTATTCATTATTATTCATCCTGATCCTGATCAATCCAGGGAGAATGTTCTGTAGAGATTAGTGCACGCGAACATGGGGAAAACAAATTTAAAAAAGCGGTGATGGTCACCATACCCCATAACAAATCTGTAATCGATTTCAGGAGATACTCAAATTAACATGGTCCCTGCAGACTGGTGTTCTTTTTGACCTACTTTGACTGTAGGTGTGGGTATCATTATTCCCTACTATCCAATCAGAGAACAAAGGAGCATTAAGAGGGTGGTCCTTTGCTTTGTATAATATCATGAGAATGAGATTCCCTACCCTAGTAGCCATAATCATAATAATCTTGTGCTCTTCTACTTTACTGTCTCTTCACTTTCAATCCCTCATCATCAGACGATATGTGTATCTGTAATCTGATCAATGTTTCAATCAGACGTAAAAACATGGTGGTTAAGACTTTCAGATCAAATTTTTTTTCAAGAAAAATCCCTTTCCTTTACCCTGTTTTACCTTGCATCAAATTAAGCTACGACATTTAGCTAACTTTGGTGCAAAGAAGATGGATCATGGATGGATATTAGTAGTGGCATTTGATCGAACACATGGTAAACAAATTAAAACATGATGGTAACTTAACAAGGAGCCTAAAAGAATGAGACTTTACATGAAGGAACATATGGGTTTTACCTAGAGGTCAGATGAAAGGTCTATCAGAGTCGAGAAGGAAGTGTCTGTAACTTCCATGTTGTCAGTGCAGTTAGAAAAATGGGGGGTTTTTGCAGATTCAGATTTCAGATCAGATTCCTCGTTACAAATGCAGTGATACATGATATATTGATATGATATATATGAAAGCAAGTACTCCTAACAAAAAAGAAAAAGAAAAAGAAAAATTACACATGATATGATCTCTCTACTATTTCTTATCATCTCTGCAAATTAAGAGTTTTTTTTTTTTTTTTGAAAATAGGCAATGGATGCAAATTAAGATTTAAGCAAGGGAAAACTCTTAAAATTCACAACACAAGGGGGATAAGTTTGTTGATTTTGAGAGGCTTTCTTTACCTCCATTTATTTATGCTTCTATTGCATCTGATTTCATATATATGTCTGGAAGAACAGAAACATGAACAAGAAAAAGAAGATATGGGAGTTTACCTCATCAAGGGGAAGAAGAGAGAGATTTCTGCTGCAAAAGCCAGAGAACAAAATACGTCTCTTTCTGCAAAACCTGCAAAAGTAGAGAGATATACCATGGGATGGTACATGGAATATGCATGGCTCCTCATACGCCATCCACGGAGGCCATCGATACTCGGTGGGGCTCTGCAAATGGCATACAGGGAGCCAGGCACATACATATATGCATACCATATGCATCCCAATCACAATTAAGCTATCTAGCATGGTTGCGTATGCTTATGTCATGATGAATGCATGGAATGTATGTTTACAACATGATTTTCATTACCCAGAAATACAATTACGGTATCATCAGAAGCTGAGAAAAGAGAGAGAGAGAGAGAGAGAGAGAGAGAGAGGGAAGTGAGGAAGAAGAGAAGGGCAAAGGAGGGAGGAAGGGAGGGGGAGAAAAAGAGGTATTTAAGGAGGGAGAAGAAGGGAGAGACTGGGTCATAATCAAATCAAATTTTGAATTGGCAAATTGAGAAATGTATGTATAGAGGATGGGGAAAATGTTTTAGTTGTGTGAGAGGGAAATTAGGAGGATGATGTGGGGTTGGGGTTGCACCCTCTTCATCTCATCTCACCCCCTAAATATAGAGAGAAAGAGATGGTGAGTTGGGTTACTAACCACGCAATTTTCTAAGCTAACCTTATGGTGTTTGAAATCTCCTTTTCTGCTGGGTCTTAAAGCAAAGGTTGCTTTTCTATTCTGAAACTCATTTTGTCTGGGAGTGCTTGGAAACATTTGGATTCCTCACCTCTCTTTTCTACTGTAGCTACCACCTCCTTTCAATTTATCCTTTAAAAAAAACAGTAAAAAGATAAAAGAAATTAAATACAACCATAATTAATCATCTTTTTCTTTTCTTCCATCAGGCCATCACCTCTTCTTTTTTACCTGTTATATAATACCATCATTTTATATTGCTAATTCATCCAACTCAGATTCTTTCTCTTGGCTTTTTTATGTTTTTATTTTGGAATTCTCCTACCTAATTAATTCACCAACCATTTTTATTCTCTATATACATTACATCCATCTCACATATAAACAAAACCCACATTAATCCCATTCTTCTTTAATATTTTGTCCCCTGAAGGAAGAAAAAATGTTCATCACTCATCCACCACATATAAATGAAAATGTTTTGAATTTTTTTTTTTTTTCTGTCTTTCTGATGCAAGTTTCTGATATTTTGTTGTGTCTTGTGGTTGGATTTGATTATTTGTACTTATGCTGCAAATTTTTTGAAAGTGTACCTGGTCCAGAGCTAGCAAACCAAATGTTTTTCCAATGATACTTGTAACCTTATGCTGTATAGTCAATATCTTCATGAGAATCTTTTGCTGTCAAAACAAGGCCACCAGTAGAATTTTAGGGTTGACATGCATCAAAAACATCAGGCTTTTGTCGCCCTCCTGCCCATATATGTGTATTCATCTCTTCAAATAAAACACCTATAAATTTGAATTTATAAATTAATAAACAAAAGGAACATATATTAAGAGATTTGTTTTGATTGAAAGGTTTTTCTTTTGTTCCTCAATAATGTCAAGCCAGAAGTTTCCCCAACAATTCCTGACTGTAAGAGTGTACCAAACTTCATTTTGCTCAAACCAACATGGATGCCCCTGCAAAAGCTTCCTTAATGTTTTATTAATTTTTTGTATAATGATTTCCAAATGAAGCTAAAAAGAATTAAATTTAAATTAATTAAAAAGCTAAAATGTTTACAACTTTGCTCTTAAAACACATTTTAATATTATAAGAGAGTGCAAAATAGTGGTGGGAAAAATGGGTTGGAAGTAGTTCTAATTTTGCAGAATTGAAGTAGAAAAACACATAAACATGAAAAGTCTTGTGAAATCTAAGATGTAGAGAAGGAAGAGGAAAAGCAAAATTGTTTATTCTGCTTTATTAATTTTGCCTTTTAATCAAAAGATTATATTGATATGGCATACATTATGAAGTTTTATGGAGGGGACATGCAATCAATGTAATGGTCCATTTGTTTGCATTCTCGAAATTGCAAAATGAATTCTTCTCTCCCTGGCAAGTGCTACTATTTTATTGAAAGGTCAAGGTCAGTGCATGTCCAAAAACTATATCAATCATAACTTGGCTAATATACTATATCTTCCTGCCCATATAGTTTTTCTTTACCTTTTTCCCTACTTCCAAATTGGCGCACAGTAGCTCCGACTGCCTCTTATTTTCTTTCCTTTTCTTTGGAGAGGAAGAAATTAAATTAACCCTTAAAGATACATTTTCATTTTAAAAGTCTCACATTTGTTCAGTTTGGGATTAGTTGTTGGACTAATACAAATTTCTCTTATTTATTGTCATTTGATTGTAGATTGAATATTTAATACAGTATCAGAGTCTATGGTATGTTGGTTATAAGGACCCAAATTAAAAAAAGAATATGGTAGCAAGATTGATATTGGCTAAAAGTTTGAAAGGGTATATGCTTTATAATAATAACAACAATAGAAAAGTTAAAATCAATGGGGAAGAACATGGCATTGAGGAGAATAAAAAAAATAAAACAAAACAAAAAAGATCCATTTTATTAATAAAATTACTACTTGGATTGAATGGAAAAGGAAATGAATGGATGGGGAACCAATAATATTGAAGAGAAACCCCATCTGCCCACATGGAAAGGGAAAGGAGGAACAAACGACTCCATGGTGATGGTGAAGAAAAGGCTGCAAAGGAAAGGGGAATTTGGTTTCCTTATATGTAGAAAATGGCAAAGAAAGGGAAGGAAAAGGAGGGGGAGAAGTGCATATTAAAAATGGAAAAAGGTGGAATGATATATTTATCGTGTAGAGTGTTGGAAGGGAGAAGTGTGGGAATCCTGGTGTCAGTGCTTGCTTATTTGCATTGTTGCTGTTTGTTTCCAAGTGCATGTCTCACGGTTGGATTCTACTCCAACCCCTTCCTTTTTCCCTTTTCTCTCCTTCTATATATATATATACCTGCCTCGAATTGCACACCCAAATGCATCCACGCACATACATTACATTACAACCATGATGATGTGCCTTCTGCATCCAGTCATGTGCTCTGCTGCACTTTCTCTCTGTACCCATATACCACCATTTTTTTTTTTTTTGCTTATTTTTCAGCACTTATTATGTACATATTCTAATAGAAATTGATCCTTGTTTAATGTTGCTCTTTGGTAATTCTTCCTCGAAATTAACCCAACCAACATGCATGTTCTACTTCTTGTCCCTTCTCCATTTTCCCATTTTCTTTACAATACCAAGAGTCTAGGACGCATTTAAACATATAATTAAAATTGAGATACATATCAATTAATATACATTCATTCCTTGGAGAATGATAATACTACATATATATTTATAAGTAAAATATCTTTATAATTAAGATAAAATTATATTTGTCTCGCTTTCGATGTATCTTGACGCTATAGGGGGGGTAATGGAGGTGCTTGCAAAGTGCATAGTCCTAGTTTTGACTAGGGTTTCATGGAAAGGACGCTTTGTGATTCAACAAAAGGGCAAAAAAGAGGAAGCGAAGTGTCGGGAATGGATTAGAATAGTGTTTTCGGTCAAAAGAAAAAGGGGAAAAAGAGGAAAAGATTGTGAGTCCCAGCTGTCAATATATTTGTGTAAACGGAGGAGGCATCATCATTACATCCCCAAATTTCGTAGACATAATAGGCATTGGGCAAACATCGCGAGCAACCTCTACTATGCTCTTTTGCAATCTTCGTGTTTAAGTTAGCTAGCTAGGCTGCTAGGGAGTTGGACCGACCCATTGCCTAATATATAATTTTTTTTTTTTTACGATAATAATAATTAGAACGTTAATATGAATTAGTTATTAGCAACTGAGGATTCGATCCTTAAATTGGGTGAATATTCTACCCCCTCAAATGAGGCGAGCGACCATCAAGTCACTTTTGGTGGAGTTCACGACGATGGTAGAGCTCGAAACTCCGACCACTTCACCCAAATACTTAAGACTTGGGGTCGAACCATTAGA